CAACAGAAAACAAACTAGGCCACCAGCTTCCGTTCAGCAAGGACAGAATCAAACACTGCAGGGGACCAGGGACACCGCTCTCTCTGTACCCACCAAGAGCGGAGCAGGCTCCTGGTGCCTCTGGGCAGCACCAGGGTTTCCAAAGGACTGCAGGCCATCAGCAGTCACTTTGAGACAGTGTCAAGCTGGGTTCAAGTTTACAACATCCCCTCCAGGTCAAAGGTCACTGGGAATGTCTGGCTTACAGGAACCTCAGATCAAAGCTGGGCACAGGAGGAGGGGCCGGGGCCTGCTCCCTGTTTTCTCAGTGTCCCCTCCCAAGGTCCTCCTGGGATGCTCCTACCACAGTGTCCCACCAGGTCCTTAACAATGGCTTGCCTGTTGCAAAAGAAACTGAAAGTTGAGTGACGTTGCTTATCTACACAACAGCTCCGATCCTGGCAGAGACCCAGGGGCTATCTCAGTCCAGGGGGCAGGATGGACATAGTGTTGGCCGCTCAAATGGCCCCTGCTCCCCACTCCTCCCTCCCTAGCTCCACACTGGGCTCTAGAGGATAAGGATGAGGATGAGGACACCCTCTTCTTCTAGCTCGATGCACTCTGGGTGCCATGCCCATATTTGCTTAAAGAGTCTAAGTTATAAACATACCATAGGAAGACAAACGGATAGCTCTGGAACCACTGAAGACAGCCAAGGGCAGCCCCTGAACCTGGTCTAGTGAGGCAGAGGGCGGGCAGCGGGGCCAGAACCCACAGGACGGAACCAGATCACCCGGCCATGACAAGCATGCGGACATGAGTGGGAGGAGACGATACGGCGGCAGGATAGCAACTGTGTGTCTGGAAGGGCAGGGCGCCTATTCCTAAGTGAAAGGGTAAGGCAGACTACTTTAGGGGAGGATAAGGCAGTGGAACCAGGGGACACTGTAGTTGGTACCATGCTAAACAGGACAAAGCTGGGGCAGGTGCATTCTTCAAACAGTAGACGGTGGGTCCACTGAAGAGAGGAGGCACAGGGCTAGGAAAGGAGGCTGAGTTCTTGAGGGCCTTGGGCAGCTGTAGAAGGCATAGGCAGGGCAGACGACACCAGAGAAGCAGAGAGAAGGGAGCCACGGTCCCAGCGAGCAACCCAGCAGGGTGTGCAAGCCCGAGGAGCTGCACCAAAGAGGACATCTTCAGTGTGGACGCAGCAGGTCGGAGCCTGGCAAGTCCATAAAGACACAACAGGATCAGGCTGGGTGGAGCCCAGGAGTGTGGTGAGAAACCCCAAGCAGGCCTGGGCACCTTGAGCTCTGGGTTCCAGAACGACCAAGACCAGGCAGCCACATCCACAGAGGCAAAGCATTTCAATCAGAGACACTGACCAGTTTCCCCATGCTGCTGTGTCCTGTGGCTTTTCCCATTTAGAACAGAAACAGCTCAGCAAAACTCAAGTGGCCGTTTCCATAGTAAGGACCAGGATTCCAGCTGCAGGAGATAGGCTGGGACAAAGCCACAGGCCGCTTAGCACGGCTGAGGGGAGGCGCATACCAGACCAGGGCCAGGCTCCAACAAAGGCTCCCAGGCTTCCCCCTTGCCCAGTTACTGGCTTTTCAACCAACCCAAAGCTGGTTGGCCTGAGGCCCCAAAGGCTTCTTATGCTTTCCTTACAAGTCTGCAAGCCCAGGCCTGGCTGAGCTACCAGGCGGGGACCCTCTGGCACCGCCTCATGCTTGCCATCCCTAAGTGGGCAGGCTCAGAGCTCTCCTCCCCTGTAGATTAGATAAAGGACCAAGTACTGAGGTCTGGGGGCACAACCCCCCCCCCCGCGGCCAGTGGGGAAGCTAAGAAAGGACACAGGAAAGTCCCCAGAGCAAAGATGGAGGGGGGGCTAGTTTCTAGATGGCAGCTCTGGCTCCCAACTCCCTGCTTCTCTAACAGCCTATTTGAGGACCTCCTGGTCCCCATCTGTGCATCCTGGCAAGCCAAGGAACCATGGGACAGGAACATAGAGACTGCTGGACAGGCAACACTGCCCCTTGACCATTGGGAAAAGTCTGTCCTAAAGGCTTCCAGGACTGCAGGATGGGAGCCTTCCCTACAGTCACAGAGGAAGGAAGCCAATCCATGAGGTTCCACTGATGGCACAGACGGCACCATGTCCCTCTGTAACATGTCAGCCAGCACCTACCATTTGTGAGCTTCCGATCCCCAGACCAAGAGGTTGTGATCGCTCACAGAGGCTAACGCAATACCCTGAGTATCCCAGTCATGCTGGCCCCTAGCCTCCAGTATCCAACTTTAGGGCGTGCGTGGATCACTGGTTACTTGATTTGCCTCATCCGTCTATACCTCACAACAGCAAGCCTACTCTGATCCCATGTAAGAGCTGGGAAAACAGACGCAGATTGAAGCAACTAACCAAAGCAGAGATTGGAAGCAGAGGTCCTGAGGAGTGGGACCCTGGGAACACATGGGTCCCACCCAAGGACCCAACAGATTTTGCAGAGGGTTTGGGAGGACAAAGCCCCCATGGGCTCTATTTTCTTCTACATGAACTGCCCCAAAGAGAGAAGCCAGATTCCCCCAAATTCTCACTGCCATTCCCATTAAAGAAAGCTAGGTACCGTGTGAACCTGGAATTGTCCCCAGACACAAAAAGCAGCACCAAGCAGCGGCCCAATTACTTCACCAGTTCCTTTGAGTCCCGCCCTGGTAAGACCAAGAGAGCCTGAGGTTTTCCCCGCTGAGCTTTGCTGGTCAGGTAATACCAGCAAAGGCCGGTGTTAGCAATGAGGTCTCCTCCCATGTCTGCCTGAAGCTGAGATGGCTAGGACTTGGTAGCAAGGGGGACAAAGGACCGAGACAATGTTAGCAGGAGTCATGGGCAAGCCCCTCACCAAGATTGATGACTGTCACGGCAGAAAGTGGCATATGCCTTATCTCATCCCCAGGGCCCAAGCGTTTTCCTGGGAAGTAACGGTGGTTTGTTCCTTGACCTCCCTCGAAGAGATGGAGTGGGAACATGCACGCTACAAATGACCGCATGCCGGGAACTTTCAGATATGCCCAGTGCCTAGGAAGAGGGAACACTCTGGGCCGGTGTGCGAGGTCTCAGTAGTGCCAATGGATGCAGGGTTGCAGGACTGCAGGGCGTGGAGCCTGAGATGTGTACACACACACCAGGAAACCCGAAGACCTGGTTCTCACCAGGCTAAAGGTTCACCTCACCACCTGGCACTAATGACAGGGAGCCCAGGATCAGAGATGGGCCAACCACAGGGGCAGGGTGGAGGCTCCAGCAGCCTCTACCCGGTGGTGCAAATGCAAGAATGTTTATGGGCAGACAGAGAGGAGAATAATGCCTCTTGTGTTCTGCGATGTTCCAGGCACTGTTTATATCTCTCATTTACTTCTCATTACTGTCCATAAAGCAGATATAATAATCCCTTCACAGAGGAGGATGCCAGCCACAGGAGCCCGGAGTGGCAGAGGCAGCACTCAACATCAAGCCTGCCCCCACCCAAAGCCGTGGTGCAGGTGTCTGCCCCCACCCACCTCAGGACTGGCTTGTGGGTGACCTCTCTAGAGGTCACTCAACTTCAGGTATGTCCACTGGGAAAGCCCACCTTACCCATGGTAAAGACCAGCCTGCCAGACCCAGAACTAACTCGGGCCCTCCTAAATCTTTCTTCTACTTTCCACCAGTTGCCGGGCAGCTCTTTGAGGACCTTTGAGGAGATTTGAGGAAGGACCTGCCACTGCTGGCCAGGTGACACCTCACCTCTCCTCTTTAAAGGGATAAAAGACGGCCAGTAATGTAGTTTCATAGCTGTCTGCCTTGCATGCATAAAGCCCAGGGTTCTATTCCTTGCACAAACCAACCAATCAACCAACAAACAAAAAATCCCCCCCAAACCACACCGATCTTTATAATAAATTCTCTCAGTTGGTGGGATAGAGAAAAACGCATGTGTACAGATATGTGCTTTGTAAGCACATTGTATACACATGCATGTGCACACTTGCGCATGTGTGTTGATGTCTTCATGTGCATGTGCGCACATGTTTGTGGTCTCAATCGGACTGAGGCCGGAAGACACTTAGTGGGGTCCTTCCTTCCTCTGGGAGGAAGAAGAGGCTGTTACATCTCAGTAGCTGTGCTCCAGGAGTCGGGAGCTGGGAGCCCGTCCTGCATCTGAACCTGCACCTGCCCACCCTGCTCAAGTGAGAGGCTGGCCCCCGACGACGCTTGAGGGTGCTTCCTGGCCCATCCCAAGTCACTGAGCCTATCAAAGGGGCCACCTAGGAGGAGGGATGGCACTTCCCCTTTTTCCAGGATCAGGCTGAGGGTGGAGAGTTGGTTTCTCCTACGGTGAACCCAGCCAGCCAAGAGGACACACCTGAGAACGGAGGCCCACACTGGTCAGGCCATCGCTCTTTGGCTTCTTTTGCTGGGTCTACAGCAAGCTGCCCGGCTTCCCCGAGATGTCCAGCTGAGGTCCGGGAGCGATTTTCCCAAAATGGGCTTTTCCATAAGCACTTTAGGGGGGAGCTAATGAGACCCTCCCCCGGTTACCCCTCCCCACCAGCTTACCCATGTCCCTTTGTCAATATCAACAGAAGTCAAGGGCACTCTGTGTCTAGAGAGGGGTCTTTAGAAGGGAAGGAGCCACGAGCAAAAGGGGTCCGTGGCGAACGCCTCTCCTACGCTGCTCAACTTGGTTGGGAAGGTAGGGTACAGCAGAGCCGAAAACGGCCCCTCAGTCCCTGCGAGGCCACAGGGCGCAGCGGCAGGATCCCCTTCCCACCCGCCAACCCCCCCCCCCCGCCCCGCGACTGTCGCCGTCCACCTGGGACCTGCCCTGCGGGTCTGCACCACTGGCTGCCTCGCCTCCCGGGGCCCTGCGCGCACGGCGGGCTGCCAGGATCAGCTCCGTCCGTGGGCTCAGAGCCCGCAGCGGGGACGGACACCTGCGCCTACTAGGGCTCGCGGAGGCCGCAGAGGGGGGGCGGGGTACCTTCTGGATGCGTCCATCGATGTCCAGGTAGATGGCCTTGGGCCGGTAGCTTGAGGAGCCGGCCCCCATCGCGCCGGCAGCCGCTCTTGGACTTTTTCACCTTACTTTCTCTCCGCGGCCACCGCGCCGGGAGGGCGGGGGCGGAGGGAGGGGCGGGGGCGGCCAGCCAACCAGAGCCTGCGACTCCCGGCCTCCGCATGCCCCTCCTCCCACGGCGCCCGCCCGCCCCACCCTTCCATCCCCTCCCCCTCCCCTCCCTTCCCTTCTTCGACCCCTCCCCTTCTCCAGCCTTCTCCTTTCTTACCAGGGCTCCTCCCTCCTGCCTCCCCCCACTCACTCTCGTCCCCTTTCTCCTCTCCCACTCCCTTTCCCCTCCTCCCCCTCATCCCTGCTTCCTCTCTTCCAGTCTCTCCCCATTATTCCTGTCCCCCCCTCTCCTCTTTCTCCCTCCCACCTTCTCCCGCTCCCTCTGCCCACCTTCCTCTAACCCTCTTCCTCACCCCTTCCTTCTCCCCCTACCCTGCCTCTCCCCTCCCTCCTCCTCCTTCCCCCCTCTTTCCTTCCCTCCTGCTCATCTGTCTCACCCTTCCTCACCTAGGTTCCCCTCCCCGCCTCCCTCTTCCCTCCCTCTCTCACCTCCACCCCTCCCTCCCCTCCTCCCTTCTCACTCCTCCCTGTCACTTCCTCTCCCTCTCCCCCTTCTCCAGTCTCTCTCCCACCTTCTGTCCCTGTCTGCCCGTCCTGTCTCCTCTCCTCTCCCCTCTGCTCTCCCCTCCTCTCCCCTATCTTCTCTCGCTCCTCCCCCTCGCCTTCATCTCTTTCTCCACGAGAAGGTGAGCCCCTCTTCCCTTTGATTCCTGTCACCGTGACAGGAATGCGTCCACTGTGCCCTTTAAGCTTGATCAGAGATCACCCCTACACACATGGCCACTCAGTCACCAACCGTTCCCAGGCTGAGGGCTGTGACTGTGACCCACAGGGCTGGGAAACCAGCCTCCCAGCCTCCCAGCCCTGCAGTAAAGGCCACCTTCACTTAATTTGAATCGGAAGTGGGGAAAGTTCCTTCCCCTGTGGGCTGTGCATTCCTGGAAGGGCAGGGAAGTCTGCTTCCCTGGCACCTGGAGTGGAAGGGGAGCCCAATTTCTGCTCTTGAAGCTGAGGGAAGATTGCCCAGTCCACTATCTGTTGGGTGCAGCACTTCCCTTGCCCCCCACCGCCCCCAGCCAGTCGTCGCCCCCCCAGAGAGAGAGAGAGAGAGAGAGAGAGAGAGAGAGAGAGAGAGATTGAGAGAGAGCTTTGCTATTTTCCGTGGGGTTGAGGGTGCATGGTAAGCCTGATCGGAGAGAATTTCAGATTTCCTTACCCTCTGGATACAATTCTCTGGGGCTTTCCCTGTGGGAACAGCTGGAGGAGTGGCTCTCAGTTTGTTGCTCTTGGAAGCTGCTGTCAAACCACTGGAGGAGGCCCGTATTGTTTGTCTTAAGTGGATTTCCAGCCACATGGTCCATCTGCTGGTGTCTGGGCTGTGCTTACTGAGAATGCCTGGGGTTCCCTGTCCTATGGGCCTGAGAAGAGCCAGTCGAACCAACCAGCCAGGTCAATGCCTTTTCTCTCCCTCACTTGGCCCTTCCTGGTTCTACCTGGTGGACAGCCATTGGCCTTGCCAAGTCCTCCAGAGTTATTGGAATCCAGACCAATGAAGACAGGGGCTTCCAAACGCAGCATGCATTAGTGACACAGTTACCCTCACTCTCCCTCAGCTGTTGGCACTAGGAGAGTCCCAGAAGCAGTGACCCATAGCCCAGAGGGGGGAGGAAACTCAGAACGCCTGCTGTGCATACTCTAGTGACTGTCATGAGGTAAAGGAAGTGGCCACCTCCACCTACAGACGGTCCAGCCCCCAAATCACCTCCATAGTTCTAATGCACCCAGGCTGTCTGAAAGCCCCTGCCCACTCCCTAGTGCAATTAAGGTCCCCTAGACAAAGCTTGACACCTTGAGAATTACTTAAAAGTGACAAGTATGAAGATGATGCCATGCAGGACTTTAAGGTGTGGTCTGACACTACTGGGTGGTCACAGCTAGTCACCTGATTTGCAGTTGAGATCTTATGTCCTCAGAAAATCAAACTGTCGTTTGTTGTCAAATGAGCCAACACTATTTGAACTGATGGGCAGCCTGCTGTTAAGGCCACCGTGTGTCATTGTGCAGCCTGGCATGGAGAACTCCATGTGGCAGATATCTTCCTTGTTCCCCAGACCTTGCTGTCAGCTGGTCTAATCTCCTGGAACAGGTTCCCTTAAGACCAGGTGTTTGTCCCCTGTGCAGTTGACCTGCTGCTTGGAGGGTGTGGCTCTGTCTGCCTGTCTGCTACTGTGGGTGCTGGGCTCCAGGCAAGCTGGCCCTTCCAGAGCCTGGCTGACTCTGTAGTCAGAATAACAATCACTTCTAATCTGATTTTGCTTCGTGCAGCTTTCCTCTCAGGAGCCATACCAGACCTCTGAACAGACACTTAATCACAGAGGCAGCAACTGCTACCCAAAGGGGAACACTTGCACCCTCCCCCGTTCCCCGTGGGGCTACGGTTTGTTCTTCACCAACAACTCCTGCGGTATTCAGAACTGTCCCAGGCACTCTGGGTACAAGGTATGGGGATGAGCAAAATTACCAAAATCCCTCCAGGAGAAAGGCGGGCATTTCAGAGGGTAGGACTAGATGAGGCAGATGAATAAATGTAAACATGGAGTATTGAATAATATCTAGTGCCAAGGAGAGAAATCACTGGGGGACAGGGATAAAATGTGGGACACAGGAGCTGGTAACCTGAGTGTCGAACCTTCCGGCCAACGGTGGCCTCACTCCACGATCTTGCTCAGGAGGCCAGGAGGGCTAGATGGAGGGCATGGCAGGGGTTCAAGACAGGTTCAAGTGGTTCAGACAGGTTCAAGAGGCAGCCCCCGTGAGTCACACAGGTGACTTCAGGTTGCCATGTGTCTATTGAATGCAGCCTCTTGGGAAGTTGTGCGGAAGAGGGATGTGTCTGATTAATGGTTTACCAGGTCTACCCTGGCTGCTGAGTGGATAGTGAAGGCTGCCAAGCAGCGTCACAAGGTGGGAAGTCATTGTCACAAAGCATGATGGCCATTTGGACCATGGTAAGGGAGTGGGATTCTACACAGAAACAGGGCCAATAGAAGATTATATAGTACATATGATATACACAAATAGTATACAGTTGAGATATGTGTGCATGCATATACCTTAACATGCAATGTGCCTGATAAACCTATCATTAATTGGAAATATTTTAAGTTAAACATGCCTGCCATTTACCTAACATACACATTATAGCATTGGCATTTCCCCCTTTAGGGTCTTGGGACATTGTGGTTACAATTTCTACCTACCTTTGAGACTAGGACTGACTCATACAGCCTGTCATCAGCACAGGGAAAGATCTGAAGGACAGTTTCTCTTGAATGCATGTGACTTTGTAGTGAAGGACAGTTTCTCTTGAATGCGTGTGACTTTGTAGTGTAATAAGGAAAATGCTGAAGTTGAGCTATCATCTAAGTCCAGGATCATTGCTACTGCAACAGGTATTGGCTCAAGTGATTGGCAGTGGGATGGAGACCCCAGAGGGCCAGTGCTGATGCCTGTTTCTAGTTTAAGTCTGAAGCTTGAGAACCCAGTGAGCTGCTGGCTGACATGCATCCCAAGTTCAAGGGCAGACAATGCCTGGCTTAAGCAGGCAGGAGCAACAAAATCCTTCTGTCCCCAGCTCTGTCCTATTAAGTCACTTGATGGATGAGATGAAGCCCACCAGCATGGAGGTGGACAGACACCAAATTTAACCTCACCCAGAAACCCATGTGAGAGGCCCCAGATAAGACATCATGCCCCAACAGACTGACCTATAGAATTAACCCTCCTGGGGTGGGAAATGATTTGTGTCCATGTCCAATCTCCATGCCAACTGGCTCCATGGGTGATTATTATTTCTCCTTCCCGCCATCCTTTCTCTTTGTTTTGCTTGTACCAGTACTCAGGCCTTGGCATCCCTTGGTTAAGGCAAGGGCTAGCTCCTTTTCACCATCCATAGCAGCCTGGGGCTCCTGGTGTCCTGACATGCCCCTGTGTACGCAGCCCATGTGAGTGCCTCAGAATCAAAACAAAAATGGAAGAAACCATCTGTCCCTACCAGGTGACCTAGGAGGCCAGGACCTGTCCACCTGCCTCTTAGGTTGGCCTTGGATCTTTTGGGAAGTTGGTAGCTGTCTTAGTTAGGGTTAATGTTGCTGTGAGGAAATAGCATGACCAAGAGCAGCGTGGGAGGAGAGGGCTTATTACACTTCCATATCATACACCATCATCAAAGCAAGTCATGAACTCAAACAGGGCAGGAGCCTGGAGGCGGGAGCTGATGCAGAGGCCATGGAGGAGCGCCACTTGTTGGTCTGCTCTTCATGGCTTTCTCAGCCTGCTTTCTCATAGAACCCAGGACCACCAGCCCAGGGGTGGCATCCCCCACAATCATTAAGGAAATGCCCCCCACAGGCTTGCCTACACCCCAAGCTTATGAAGGCATCTTCTCAATTGAGGTTCCCTCCTCTCAGATGACTCTGCCTCGTGTCAAGCTAAAAACCATCAGAGTCAGTGACTGAACACAGTCAAAAGGAATGTTAAGCAGAGGGACCTTCTCAGGTGTGCGGGATCCTGAATGTATGTCATCCTCAAGGTAGGTTGTGGGAAAGGGGAGCCTGAGAGCCAGGGCAGAGCTGACCTCCTTCCCAAGCCCCTGCAAAAGTTATAGTTTCTTCTGGTAGCTTCTGATGTCCTTTAGCAGAGTTCACTCTGCCACTGTCAAAATGATCCATTAGACTTTTTTTTCATATTAAGGCTTCAAACAGCATCGGAAGAGGGAGGAGCCAAGACAGGGGTGGGGGGGAGGAGTTTTCTGGTCTCTGGTTTCCATGCTCACTGCAGCTCCCCATCTTCAGCAAGAAGCAAAGCCATAGTGAGGCAAGACAGAAGGCTTCACAGTGACAGCACCCTTCCTTGACGTTGGGGGACTGAGAAGGAAGGCTTGAGCATTGGGAGAAAATATACAGGACTTCCCTGGTGTGGATGCGCCAGCCGCATTCACTCAGAG